TAATCCAAAATAGGTTCACAATCAGCGCATTATATCTGTAATAATATGAATGCAGAATTAGAGATGTTACTGCTTTGCTTTATAATTATCCTCAGTTAGGGCTTAGATTAATTGATACACATGGTTGTTGCAAAGAGCTTGCCACAATTTTCAGTAGAACAGTACCCGGTGAACAGAAAAGAAAGACCTTGATCTGCATGCAATTCCATATGGGAATTTTATTCACAATTATCACAGATAGGGGTAAATGAGACATTTTAATGATTTCTAGTTGCTGTTTTAGGCTGGAGTGTGCCATCTGCTGCTGTGTAATACTAATGGTTATGTCTGCGGTAAATCTCACGTTCTCCCTTTTTTCACTTCAGAGTCCTGGTCTCTAATCATATACACTGCGTTGTAATGCTGGGTGACTCTAGCTACAGCGCCGCTAACACATTAATGCGTGCCAAATACTAGAAGATAGTTCTTCAACATTTTGCAGACATATACTCACAAACATACGCATGTAAATATAAAGAGCCAAAGAGACAATGAAAATTAATTGTTCTCCACCAATTTAACTTGCATAGAGTAACTTGCCTCCAGATCTGGTAGCATCAACAAATGGGCCCTTTTACAAGGACTTTTGAACTGCTAGTTACTCTGTCATTCATGAAAGGGGTAGGAAGAGCTTCAGAGTTCAGTTCAAAATTCTTTTCAAATTTGTTTAAACGTACAAATCTAATTTAACATCTGTATGAAAGGAGTGAAAATGCCAGAGCCTAGCTGAAAGTGGCATCTCTGGAGAGTAAGTATTTTTAAACACTTATCAGAGTAGTACACATCTACTATGATGGTGAAACAGAATTAAATTACATGAAAAATACTTCGTCCTTCATATCATCTGTCATCTCATCTGTCTTCTGGTTGATGTGATGGACAAACGAATTAGAACTGAAATCCAAACAGTAAGACTAGACCTGGAAAAAGGCACAAAGAAGGGCAAGAAGGATGGCACTTTGGGGTGTCTTTGCAATAGGTGTTATGGATGCTACAAGCTTAATGGACTCAAAGTCCACTGAGAGCTGTTAAGTATGACACCTCCTTTGCTATAGTACATCCCTGAGCCACAGAGGGTGGGAGTCTTGTAAGGCTTTTTGCTGAGGATTTGAGATGTGATATCTCCTAAATTTCCTGGTGTTACTTTAGCGTAATCCAGGGGCTTTTATTGTTTATGTTTCTTAGTTGCAACTTCCAATGCATTTGGAATTTGTGTCTTCGTAACTCCTTATCCTGCACTTTGGGTGAGAAGTCAGTATTAATCCTTTCAACTGAAAATACCTTGTTTCTGAGGATGAAGATTTTCCTATGCTCATATATTAATGAAGCTCTGCCCCAATTTTTAATCAACAGTCAAATTGACTCCTTTAATCTTTCTTTAATTGAAAGTTGTGGAAAATGCCACTTGACATGCATGAAATGAGCAGCAAAGTTTTTCCAAAACGAAAGGACTTCTTTTAATACTTTCATCTCTGGCATTAATGCGATCATAAATACTACTTCATGAATAGGAATTACAATGCATTACTTGAACAGAGTTTGATTGTCTCTAGAATTAATTGGTAAAATTCTTGAGAGGATGCAGTTTCAGACTGTTGCTTTTAGGAGTTCAGTCTCAGATGAGTGCTAAGGTATTCTGCTAGATTAAAGGTTCCTGAGTTAGGAATGCTTTTGAATTAGTTCAGCATCTGCCCAAACCAAAACATTTCTTCTAGCACTGGTTAGCTGCAGTTTCAAATTTTTACATCACAGGGCATTAGTCCTAGATAGATTCGCCTAAAACATTTGGTTTAAAATCAAACTGCATAAATGGGAAGGATTTTTTCTTTGGTATGTTATGCACTATAAAGCGAGTGAAGGAAAGGGAAATCAGAGTTACCTATGCTAATAGAGCCTTTATGACAGCGTGGAAATTTCAGCTTTGCCCCTGGATTGCTAAGTTGGCACAATGACTGTTCTCTCTTTGTGAGCAAAAAGAGTCTATCAAGTTGGACTGCAGTAATTCCCAGAGCTCTTTTTTATCAAAACTGCAAATATTAATCTTTCAGGTTTTTCAAAAAGATTTATAGCAGGAAAATGTTGGCATCGACACCAGATAAATTTATGCCTTCACTCTGAACTCTGGTGACTTGCAAACAACTATTTGCCAATAGTACAATTCAGTTAGATGCAAAATGCACTCATATGTATTTGAAATTTAATCAAAACATTCACTTTTATCAGCTATTGTTAGAAAAACACTTCGACTGTATCATATGAATAATTTCTATGAAGCAGAGTCAATTCTAAAGTAATAAAATAATTAAGAATGTGCATTTTAAACAAAAGTTGGGTAAATTTTACTCCTAAACCTTAAGGCCGGATGCGTACAATTGAAAGAAGATGAGAAACTTCTCAAATGTAGGGGACTTGCTCTGAGGGAATAGGCATGGATGAAAAAGTCCAAACCACCACAACTGATTTCTTTAGCATAGGTGCCTGACATGCTAAGTATTGCTAAAAGTATTGCACAGGAGACTAAGTAGCTCAGTATAATGGCAGCATTATGAAAGACTGTATTTTCCATATGAATATGCTGTTGCAGAATTGGACTAGGGTTACTTGGGATCTTTTAAAACTGAAGGTAATGTTCCCAGACTTTCTGAATGGCTACAGCCCTTCTTCATTTTTATTTCTCAAAAATACAATTTTATTGAAATTTAAAGGAAAAAATCCAAATCAAATATATATTTTGCAGTTTTCCTTTTTTTCCTAGCAAGTATAAGTAATTTTAAGTTACTTTTCAGTACCTTGGTTCAATTACTAAAGCATTTTAAAAGGTAATACAGAGAGAGATTATTTTAAAGGATGCATGAAGTAGTTGTGTAAAATAATTTTCTTTGATTACTTAGGAAGTTTGTTTACTTTAGTTAGCATAAAGTGGCATTATTATAGATCACTATTGAAGAAAATACCTATGGACCTTAACCTGCAAAGACTTAATGCGTGTGCTTATATCTAACCATCCATAGGGCCACCTTGCAGAAACTGAGATTATGATACATTTTTAAAAGATAGAGGAAAAAATAAAATAAGAAGTACAGTTTGAAAAATGTTTGTTCCCATGTTTAATATGTCTTTTCCAGCAGAGATGTTAAGGACAGGAGTCAAACTTAACTAAATAGAGCTCAAAGCCTAATCACAAATTTCAGATAGAACTGATGCAAGAGCATTCACAGAAGAGGAAAAAAGGTTTGCTCAAAGATTTTTCTACAATACTATAACCAGTCTTGAATGCTTGTGCAATTTTTATTGTCTGCTGAATTTTCATAGCTGAAAAGCGTCCTAAGAAGAATCTAATGTAAACTTGTCAGTATAAACAAAAAGTCAGCGTAATTCCTCTCCCACAAGAGACACTTCCCAGAAGTTCCAACTTAAATTATTTTTGTAACTTATCAAAACGTCTTTTTGCACCTGAATGCTACCCAAAACCAATTTTCCTGTCTTTAAACATATCTATTTTTCTGAATAGGCCTTTTTAGATTTCCATGGGTGCGTTTAAGTCCATCTTCTGATAGGTACAATGAGCTCGCTAAGAATAGACAGTGGGAAAGGTCTTTATAGAAAAGTTTGTGTAAGTCTATAAAGAGTGTATTTAAAGCTCAGTTGCTTCAACCTTACTTAAAAAAAAAAAAAAAATCAATCAGTAACAACTTTTTAAACTTCATTTAACCTTGATCTCGATACAATTTTTGTTCAGAAGTGTTTCCGGAATGTTTCCATGTTTCCACTATGTTTCAAAAATTTTATTTCAGTTTTTCATTTTCATAAAACTGTGTTCATGTTTTTACATAAACTCATTCTTGTTTATTTATTTTTGCATTAATTTAAAATGTCTCACTGCATCCAACTGTAATAATTCAGGAAAAAAAAATAAAATTCCACGTTACAGAAAAAATATTGCTTGTACTGTTGAGATACATATTACTGCTTCTTTACTCAAAGGATCATTCACATAGCTAGGATATGTATGAACTATAATTTCTAATATTTCAATGTACTTTATAAGCATCATTTTACATAGTGAGATCTGAAATTTGATTCGTGTTCTAAGTGTTAAAGAACAGAGCTGTTTCAGCACTCCATTTATGTTTGATAATATTTTTGATCCAAGTGCTAGGTTCCCTCATTACTTTGATTCAGAATGTGTACTAGAAGTGCAAAGTGAATGTGGCCAGTGCCTTCTCTTGTATTGTTCTGCTTTGAATACTGAAGGAATGCATAGAATGCTATCTCACCTGAAAGATTAAATACTCTTTTTTTTCTCTGCTCTTCATTTCAATTACTATAGTGATCTACTCTATAAGATCATCTTATTTCTTGCAGATGAATGATGCTATGGGATTTGAATTGCCATGGGTGTATTTTGTCAGTCTCGTCATCTTTGGGTCATTTTTCGTACTAAATCTTGTTCTTGGTGTATTGAGCGGGTAAGCATACACCTTTTTCATCATGAAGGCAGAGTCCTGAATTCAGTTGCCATGAACACACAGGTTATCTTATACAGGTGAGACTTCAGTTGTGATGACATCTTTTAATAAACCTCTATTTCTTCCTCCTCTAATTAGAACAGAAACAGCTTTCTGTAGCTATCGTATAAATAACATACAAATACCAAAGTCAGAGTTGAGACATACCAGTGTATATTCTTCATGTCCATACTTGTGGCAAAATTATAAAAAGGACTAATAATTCTCCTGCACTTATGTAAATGTTATTTTAATTCATCTTTTAAGGCATCACATCTACAACATAATTTGGGTAAGTAAAGAAATAAAGCAAATGTTCGTTGATGATTCTTTTTAAGAACTGAATAAGCCATAAAATTTCACTGTTGAAACCTACGTGATCTGGCAGCTGCAAAAAGGACTCTGCTGTTTAATCAATGACTGAATCATAACTTATTTCCTTACATTTTACAGGTAAATGATGCAATAGGATGTGAATGGCCATGGATCTATTTTGTTAGTCTTATCATCCTTGGCTCATTTTTCGTACTTAACCTGGTTCTTGGTGTACTTAGTGGGTAAGCAGTTGAGTTAACATTGTGTATGCTACTGCTACTTGTAAGATGGCCTCTGCATTTACTCAAGCTTCTCAGCGATGGCTTTTCTGCATGCACTTGAGATTCTTCTGTCATCCTACCAGTGTTTGCTCTTTTGACTGAACTGTGTGATTCTGGTGCCTGTATCTGTCTGACATCACGTTCACCATGCTTGCCAAAAATATTCATTAAATGAGGCACTAATCTCCTTATTCTATAATATTCCAGCAGGGAGAAACATTATTTTGCACACAGAGATGGGTGGTGCACCTGTAAAAATATTCTCCCCTATAGTTATAGCCAAGTGTCCTTTTCTGAAAGCCCAACTTTCGCTTTTGTCCAAATATCCATAAAATAATTGAAGTGTTATTTGTGTTTGCCAGTCACATTGCAAAATATTTTTAGTGGATGCTCCAAGATCTGTCTTACAGAAAGAGTATGACTAGGTTACCTTGACACAAAGTGTTTAGTGCTTCCTATATAGCAGAGCTGTGTACTGCTGTGACAACCTGCACCAGCAAGCTGATATATTTATCAATAATCAAGTATCAATTTCATATACTTGTCAGTGGGAGATAGTCACAGCTTTTCGCTGGTTTGTGTACTCCAGACTCCAGCCAAGCACTAAAGTGTGTCAGTTGTAGCTGTATAATGTGGTTTAAAACAGTAGTTTATTTGCAATGTTTTTTCTTACAAAGCCTCCTTACTGAGGTTACAATTCCACTTCCTTTGCCATTTTCTGGTTTCAAACATACTTGAGCTTGGGAAACTTCAGTTTATGGTAAAGATATTTTCTGATAAATAAATAAATAAAAGATCCTGCTAGCATTTGAATACTAAAAGAAAACTGTTATAGTTGTATGTATTAACTTTTAGTTATACAACAAACAGTATTGTTCTGGCAATCTTAGGCAAGCTGTGCCATCTTTGTCAGTTGACAGAAAAATTTCTCTTGCATAGAAAGCAGTCTGACACCATAGTTGATAGTGTCATCAGACTGCTGATTGTGTGTGCAGCCCTATTCATGGTTTTGCCATGTTGTACATTAGATTTGAAAGGAATTGTAGTACATTATTATATTCCTGGAAGTCAGGCAATCAAACAAAATTTCCAGTTGCTGATGTAACTATGTTACGATAGTGTTTTTATTTGATGGTTTTACAATGTGTTTTTAAAAATCGTAAGTCATTTATCCGTGATAGATTAATGTTGCACACAGGAAACTAATGAAAGAATAGGTTTTGCTTTACTGTCAGAATCACTTTACAAAGCAGATGCCTAAAAGAAAAGAGGTAGTGCTAAAAACACATTGCTGACTTTTAGATTTAATCTCTTCCTTCCAAGTCTTACCCTGTAAAATCTGATTTATACAGTCATATCAGCTTTGTTTTATTCAGGGACAAATTTGTAAATTGTTGCAGAACTAAGGGCCTAGCTTTCATGTCACAGCCCCACTGGACAAACAAAATAAGCAAGAGAAGGACAGATAAATTAAGGGAGTTGTGGTGTAATTTATTTCTTCTTTGGATACTGTTACCTAACGTTGCTGTGTAACTAGACTTCCCTGAAATCATTAGGGGATTAGGTTTTCACAGTTCCTTTCCCTGGCCCTTAAGAAGGTCATAAGCAGCAATTAGTTTTCTTCCTGTCATGTGAAGGTGTCCTGTAGTAACAGTTAACTAAACATTCCACTTTTCACTTGCATGACTTGAATTGTTATTGGTTTCAGATTTTTATGTTTTTAAAAATAAGTTGTGGGGAAAGTAGTGCTAGAGTTGGTATTTCGTTGCACATATTAATTTCTTCTACTGAAGCTTTGGAAATCTGGAGAGACCCTCACAGCTAAACTTTACATTTGATTTAACACATTTAAAATACTTTGTAAGGTTTGCAACATTATGATATGTATTATATTTGTTGGAATATGGAGTCATTCTTTAGCTGCTGTTATGATACAGGGGAGGGGGTGTCCCCTTCTCCTTGGATTCCATTCTGCAGACAAGAAATCATCACTGATTTCTAGGTATTACTTGATCTATGGAGCTCTAATGCTCTTCAGAACCATTGCTGGCTTCCCTTCAATTTCCAGTGAACAGAAATCACAGAATCACGGAATGGTAGGGCTTGGAAGGGACCTCTGGAGATCACCTAGTCCAAACCCCTGCCAAAGCAGGATCACCTAGAGCAGGTCACAGAGGACTGCATCCAGGCGGGGTTTGAGTAGCTGCAGAGACAGAGACTCCACAACCTCCCTGGTGCTTTGTCACCCTCAGAGTGAAGGATTTCTTCATCACATTGAGATGGAACTTCCTGTGCTCCAGTTTGTGCCCACTGTCCCTTGTCCTGTTGCTGAGCACCACTGAAGAGTCCCATCCTCTTGACACCTGCCCTTTAGATATTCACAAACATTGATAAGATCTCCTCTCAATCTTCTCTTCCCCAGGCTAAACAGACCCAGGTCTCTCAGCCTTTCCTCATAAAAGAGGTACTCCAGTCCCCTAATCATCATCATAGCCCTCTGCTGGACTCTCTCCAGTAGCTCCTTGTCTCTTGAACTGGGGGGTCCAGAACTGGACACAGTACTCCAGATGTGGCCTCACCAGGACAGAGTAGAGGGGGAGAAGAACCTCCCTCGACCTGCTGGCCACACTCTTCTTAATGCAGCCCAGGATACTATTGGCCTTCCTGACCACAAGGGCACATGGCTGGCTCATGGTTAACTGGCTGTCCACCAGGATGGTCCTTCTCTGCAGAGCTGCTCTCTAGCTGGTTGACCCCTAGCCTGTACTGGTACATGGGGTTATTCCTCCCTAGGTGCAGGACCCTACGCTTGCCCAGCTCTCTAGCCTGTCCAAGTCTTGCTGTTTTCTATGCTGAAGAAAATGATACTAGTGAAATGACACGTGATATATAAATATCACCAATGACTGATGTTGAGAGCAGAAGGAAAAAGGAAAAGAGAGAGTATTCCTAAAAGATACCTATCATACCATACTAATGTTTGGTATGTAAGTGAAAAAAAACCACATTCTGGCATACTCGAGATGTTGACAAGGGCCAGTGTGGAATACTGTTACACTACACTGATTTATTTTGATCACTAAATGCCATTTGTGTATAAATAATAATGATTATTTTTCACATATTTTCTATATAGAACCTACCTGTTTAAATTTTATGGGTAAAAATGATATACTAGTAAAAATCCTATGGGTGTGTTTGTATTCCTTAGTAGAAAGATAACATTCTTCATTTGGAGCCAGGCATTGAATATGTAACACATGCATTCTTTGTTTTTTGTTTAAGAGTTATAAGCTTGTACGTCTTATTCTCTTCAAACTATAGCATGAAACTTGGTTTATGATAAATCTACAAAGGAAGTTAAATTTTACTAAACCAATCAAACTTCAAGAATGCAAAAAGTATGCCAACTTACTTGAAAAGCATGGCTTTGCATACAGATTTTGGAAGTGGAATCTGAATGCCAAATACGCCTTTTCTGTGTGAAAGTTATTTACTGTAATATCAAGTTATGCCATGTACATTTAGATGTCTGCTGTTTTGATCTGTTTGCAGTTTTAAAATATTCATTCATCTCTTTGCACTCCTTTGTTACTCTTTGACCATCTGCCCCTTTGTATTTCTGTAATGCCTCTTGTGCACTGCATGTTTGATGTATTTAGATACTGTACAAATGGAGGAGAATGATGATTTGGGAGATCTTTTGTTTTATATCTAGCTGTTTCTGAAGGTGAGTATTTTCTGATGATCTACGTCAGTTTTGCCTTCTGAAGGTCACGTTCTTAAAAATAGTGTTCATATTTTTAATAGCAGATGTGTAAATTATTAGAAGTAATGTGTGAGAGGAATCCGCATGTGGTAAATATTTTAATTTCTGCATGGAAGGTGATTGTGGAGATTTTTTTTTTTATATATATTACCTTGAATAACAAACATGGAGAGAATTCATAGGCTTGAGGTAATTGAGTTTTTTTCAAAATACTCTATTTTTTGCTCTGTACTAGACACTAGTATTATTCACATTATTCTCAAAGTGAATTGAAAATCTATTTCAGTTTGCAGGACTCTACAGGAAAAGGCATTCTAGAAAAAGACCGCAGGTCAGGTTTTAGACATGGCTGCAGATCCAGCTCAGGCTCTAGTACATCTCAGAAATTGCAGAGCTAGATTTAAAAATGGTTCCAGTTCCAGCAATGACCTATACAATTTGTCCTAGACCTAGCTCTAGAGATGTGCTCCAGAAATGGGCTCTCGATTCAGCTCGAGAAAGGGAAGTGAGACAAACACCCTTAGAGCAGCTCCAGCAAAGAACTCCAGAAAGGGCTCTGGGAAAGCCCTCTGGATCATGCACTAAATCTGTCTCAAATAAATGGTTGGGCAGATCCAACTCTTTCCAGATCCAGCTCTGAAAAAGACCTCAAGAAACGGCCCTAGTCCTACTCTGGGAAGGGGCTCTAAAATTGGCCTAATATCTGTTTCTGGAAAGTGCCCTAGAAATGGCTCTAGAGCTAAGTAGAGATTGTAGCTCTAGGAAAGGGGTCTGATGATGGTTTTTGGTCCAGCTTTAACAGTGCACTCTGAAGAAGGCTGTAGCTCTGGCCTGAGAACAGACTTGACAAACAGCTCCTCCCTAAACATGTTAAAAAAAATTGGCTCTAGATCCAGCTTCAGAAATGTATCTGGAAATGTGTTTGGAGGTGTGGTTCAAAACATGTGTCTATTGGTAAATTGTTTCAGCACAGTGAATTTCTTAGGAATCTAGCTGGACACCTGGACCTGTCAGCTGATCTTTCATGATAAGACTGCGTTTTTTTAATTCTGCCAGTATTTGGAAATACAGAACAGAATACTTGCAGCTCTGGAAAGCTGCTATAGATGTATTCAGATATCTTTGCATTTTCATTATCTTGGGCTGATCTGCATTTGTTTGTTCACATTATAAATTTAAAGCTATATGTGAC